TTATTATATAATCTGTGATAGATAGTGAGTAGCGTAGCAGTGTGCGCCTGTTAACAAAATGACGGCCGCTTCTTAGGGTTTTCAAAGTGTCTGTGAAGAGGATTTAGATAAAGTTCTGAACGATTAATAGATTTATACTAAAACAATTAGATTATTCGCCCCCGATTTCTATCGCGTGATAGTCGACTCGGGCGTTGACTCGGGCTGCGTCCTCGTCAACTATCACGCAATAGAAATTTCGAGCTCATAATCTAATTGCTTAACAGATAGGACCCTGCGCGCGCTCTGATTGGTCGAAAACCCATGTTTTATCAGAGTATAAAACATAGAAAAAGCATGTAGTCCTCAGGTAACGAGTTCCAAAGTTTCGAGGCAACATAACGAAAATAATTTAGACCATAGGAAGTTGTAGACGGCTTGGGAAAAGATAGAATGTCACTGCCTCTGAAGTAATACGGAACAGCGCGTAAAGAAAACATTTGTTTCATGTATGCGGGATAGCTGTTAAGACGAAGACGTTTAAAAAGATTAAGTACCATATTTTGCAGACGCCTATTTTCTAAAGTTGCTATTCCTGCTCTTTTGAGCAGGAATAACAAGAATATAGTCTGAGCCTGTTCATTGTCAAATTGAACCCAGAATCATCCATCTAAGTTTACAAGAGACCAAAGCAACTTTACCATTGTCTTTATTTTTTGTTAGCTTCGTGTCATTTGAGAAGGACAGCTCGTTTTTAACGGCCCCTCGCGCTGCGGGCGCCGCCACCGTATGCAAGGAGTGGGGTATGCCCCCAAACCACCAAGCACCGCGCGCCTTTGCATTGGTGCTCGATTATCTTTCTCTTCGATGCCTCGGTACTCCATGAAAAATGCACCCTACGGCCCTGACAGTTCCTAATACATCCTTATTGTTTCAGATTCTTCTGACTCCGTTAACTTCACATCAATTGGATGTTTCCACGCCTGGTCATCACGGGCGATCCCTAGCCTATATGGACAAGACCCGCATCTGGATAAAGCGAACTACAAACGGAGAAAAGATGCAATAGAAAAGTGTGCGTCTGTAGCTGAGCAACGCGGGTACAAAGTGTTTGCTCTTCAAGATGGCGGCATGTGCTTAAGTAGTTCCACCATGCATAAGACCTTTCAGACATATGGCAGGTCAAGTCAGTGCAAAAGCGATGGAAGGGGAGGGAAAGAAGC